TACTACTACTACTACTACTACTACTACTACTACTACTACTACTACTACTACTACTACTACTACTACTACTACTACTACTACTACTACTACTACTAATCAGCTTCCATTTATTCTTATTTTATTAACTTTGCAAATATAATTGTGTGTTTTGGTCCCACATTTCTTTTGTAGGGATCTAGCCACCCTAATTCACAATGGCTTTTCTATGAAACCACATGACACACACACGTATCATCACATTACAAAAATAGCTAAATATAGGTGCTGTCAGTATATTTATCTTTCTTTCAGCACCACCTCTGTGTGCAGCATAAACAGCATTCAAATGGACTATAAAACAGACCAGAAATTACAGGAGACACAGATTTGAGACTCTGAATCCTGAATTCAAACCTGCAGGAAAAATCAGTATGTAACTGCAAAAAAGGTGGAAGTAGTACCAGAACTTCCACGGGTGAAGAAAAAAAAAAAAAGCTAGTGAAACAATTTAAGCTGTTTTTAATCAGACTATACATTTAGAGACACAAGGCAGCTCAGTGGCCCAGTGGTTGGCACAGTACATCACAACACAAATGTTTAGGCTCGACTCCTCCGTGGTCAGCAAGAATCACCTCCAGATTTGTATGGTAGGCGAACTAGTGATTTTAAACTGGCAGTCGGCGTGAATACATCTGTATTAGCCCCATCACAGACAGGCAACATTCCCAAATGAAATTTATGGATCGACGATATGCACGGTGTTTTTACTCCCCAGTGTTCACTGAGAGTAAAGTTAAATAATTGGACACGTAAGTGCCAGGAGGCGTTCAAATTCAGAACAGCATCTGAATTTTCTGCATTTGGTTTTTCAGCTGTCCATCTCATCACCAATTAATACATGTCAAACATTATATCATCTTCTTCCTCCTCCTCGTCATCATCCTGCAGATTAACGGGGGACATTTCATATTTAGATGGACTGAATCATTTTTAATAACAAGGAACATGAAGGAAAAAAGGGTCTAATATTTCACAAACCTCATCAAAGTCCAGTATGTTGTCGTCTTCATCATCACTGCTGCTCTCGATGATTTCGTCTTCTGAGTCCTGCGTGACATACAAAAAAAAATTAGAAGAGTGCAGCTTAAAGAACATTTTCTTCATCATACAAATTATACTATTCCCATTATCACTTATTCTCATTCCCCCTGAATATACATTGCTATATTACATTGACTTCTCCGACATTTACCTGAAGCTCTTCAAGCATGATGTAAAAATGTGAGTCATAAGTAAACCCTGTGAATAACTTGACTGCATTCATATCACGAGCATGAACTTGAACATGTGGGTGTATTACTTGGCGCTTGCTGTATAAATATTCAGACTTACTGATGGCTGCTTCAAAAATAGTTCGTCCTTGTCAGAATATTTCGGTAAGGTGTCCTCAAGATATTTTAATTTCTGCAATAATGGATAGGAATGTTATTATATTAGAAAACAAAAGACAAAAACAGGAGACTGAATTTTGAGGTACTCACACGAGGGTTCTGTTTTTGATACTCATTCTGCTCATCTGGAGTCAGTGTCTTTAAAACAAAAGTGTGAAAATTTAAATACTAATTAAAACTTAAAAAAAAAAGAAAAAGAAAATTATAAATAAATATTTTCCTACCTTAAACCACTCCTGCAGCTCGATGGAGTATTTCCTCAGCTTTTCATTTACTTTTAATTGGTACCGGGACTTGTCCTTTATGGAGAGTTCATGCCATTTTTTGTTGGCCGCAGCAAAGCGGTCTTTTGCATTTGGGATTTTTTCTTTTAGAATTTTCATCTGATCCTGGCAGAAAGCCACGTTGACAGACCTATAAAAATAAATAAAATTAAAAATTGTCTTTCAGGATTTCATTTGTCGAGTTAAAATTAATCCTTGAAGGTGAGTGAGTTTGACGACTATGCTCACATGGATGGCATCTTGGGCTCGCCGGGTATTTTCTCCTTGGTTTTCCTTTTGAAAATCTGCAGATTTATAACAAACGTGTTGATTTCAATGCCACGCAGTTAATACTTACATGAATGAAAAGAGAGCTCAGAAAACAGAAAGCTCTTAGAGGCAATTGCCAACAGATAGCTGAAAAGGTGACAAATTCCAAATTCCCCAAAAGTATCAAAGAAAAATGTTTGTTCTGTTAAATGAAAGTGGCAAAGTGTTGGCACCTTAACAGGACAATGTGTCATTCCTTCACTCTGGTAGTGGATTTGAACCATGAATATTCTTGCATCAGTGCTCAACACAGGACCAAGCCATACTCAGCTAGCTCTCCTGCCCCTTTGGTCTTTTGCTTTTTCTTCCCAGTGGAAAGGAACCAACACTTTTGCACATGTCTGTACATTTGTTATTATTTATAATAAAGAGCAAAGCATGTGGTCCAAACGCCCTTCCAGATTAAACTAATTTTCCATTTACTTGCAATGAACAGTCCTCTCACCTTACGCTTTGTAGGAAAACTGATCTTTGTTTTGCGGAGGACCTTGTTCCGCTTCTCCTCATCTAAACTCTGAAGATGAGAATACAACATAAAGTCAGCATTCACACAAAGCCCGTGAGATTTGTTAGCAATGCTGCACCTATGATCTTAGAACTTACCATTAGATACGTATGCATCTCACTTTCATACCGCATCTTCAGCTGAAATGAATGAACTACATGTTCAACTCTGCTTCAAGACATTATTAACATAACCCAACAAGATCACCTTGATTTCAAAACTTTGTTTTGCATCACAAAATAAAAAAAGTAATTTATGCTGCTATACCTCTTTGGAGCGTGTGTTGTAGGCTTTTCTCTCCTTTTCACTTAAATTTCGCCACCTCTGGGACCACTCTTTTATGTAGGCTCTTGTTGGGACACTCATACTACCAATCAGCTCTTTGCAGAATAAATTGTAGCCACTTCTACAGATATACACACAGAAAACAAACAAACATGCTCAGTAGCCTCTTCACAGAAGACTAGATGTGATTTTAAACTACATTAAATCAAAGTTAGCATTAAACACAGGCCGCACAATCACACAGGCAGTCAGAAATGCAGTTTTCCAGCATGTTTGTTCAAGAAACTCAACACTTAGAACACCAACAACAAAATATTGTCTTAAACTAATGCACCATTACTGTGCCCATGTATAATCTTTATTCTTAATAAGCTAAACATACGCACTGAACACAAACATAAAATTTGAATAGAAAACCAGAGCTATGCAATACACCAATTTCTGGTATCAATACCAAGTAAATAAAGGGCCTGTGTTGCAGAAACAAATACACATATCAAAACTTAACCTATAAAAGACAGCTTATGTAATGGAGAGAACTGATTAAATGTGCCATAGACTATAAATAAAATGAACATGACAGTTGCCAAGCCAAGTGTGTGTATGTATGGCTTACATAGGTGGCTTGACAGGCAGACCCTCAAAGTCCTCCTCTGACTCACTGGTGCTTTCAGGGACCACCTTCTTCCTTTTGCTCTTCTGAAGGGATTTGCCATATTTTTCCCTGAAAGACAAAAACATTTGTTTGGCTTTCCCTCCCCTTCTTCTTGTACAGGCAGCCTACTGGGCCAATCCCACACATACACAGCTGGGAACGTATGTTTGTCTTTTACCTCAACTCCACCCTCTTATTAGTGAATTCTTTATATGCGTTCCTGTATTTCTCCAGATAAAATGCCTGAAAAAGTAAATAATTCATGACTTAAAATGTGAGCTTTTCTGACGATGGGAACAGGCAGTGTTGTAGTGACAGCTCCTGATATACTTTACCTTCTTTTTGTCGGGGAGCAGACTGAATTCTTTGCTTGCGATTTTCATCAAACCTGCACAGCTCATCCCTGGATTCTTCTTCTTAATCTTGGAAAAGACTTCCTTGTAATACCAGGTATTTACGGGCATGGGTCTCTTCGGGTACTCTGGATGGAGCTAATTTTTCGGAAATGTGAATACTCAGTAGAGGGCAAGTACAAGCAACAAAGGAATACACATTTAACGCTATGCACCTGACCAGCAGTGTGTAATCCATGTGGCCAAGGAGATACTGCCCAGAGCCATGGCATGTTCCAATGCTATAACAGTCAGCTGTTGTTCTGCAGTACACATACATGGCTTGCTGTGTAAACATTTCAAGCATAATCTTTTACTAGGTAAAAAATTAAATGGTACAAACGGTCTATTTGGCTGAAACAGTCTTTTTGGAACAGGAAGGGGACGTCCCCAAACTGTTCTTAAAAAGCTGGGACCATGAAATTGTGCAAATTGCTTTGGTATGCTAAAGCACTAAACTTTTCTGTCACTGAGATTAAGGGCCAGAGAACAACCCCACACTGAACGCCTAACCCAGACTCATCCATCAGATTGTCACACAGAGAAAAATGATTGCACTTGGTGGTGTGAGGCTTGGATGCAGCTGCTAAGCCATGGAAATGCACTCTTCAAAGCTCTCTACCCTCTTTTTTTGATCTAATCTGAATAAGAAGTTTGGAGAGGTCTAGAGAGTGACTCTGCAAAAAAAGATAATAATAATAGCGACAAAATTTCACAACTGCACTTGTTGCATGGGTGGCATCCTATCACAGAACCACACTGGAATTCACTGAGAGCTTTAAAGCAGCCCATTACTTTTGGATTTTGGTCCTGCGTAAGACTGAGGAGGC